AGCAGCAGGTGCTGCTGGGAGTGCTTGGAGGTCTGCTGGGGTGAGTGGCCTGGAAAGATCATCGGCATTAGTAGCAGCGGCGGCAGGGGAGAGGGTAGTGGCAGGGGAGGCGAGGAGCTTCTTGATGTCCTCTGCTGTCATTGTCTCGCGCTCCAACAGCGCTGCTGCCAGCACATGCAGCTGCTGCTCGTGCTGCCTCATGCCCACACACAAGGGCATGTGAGAGTTGACCGGGGGGAGAGGGGGCAGTGAGGGGGAAAACGTAAGGCATGCAGCGGCATGGAGAACGCACAGTGTTTATATCCAGAGGGCAGGGCGCATAGTTTCAAGGAGGAAGGCAACGCTCACCTGCTTGAGGAGGGTGGTGACGCGTGCGTACGCCTCTCTGAGCAGCCGTGCCACCTCAGCATCTGCCACGCGCAGCAACTCGCCGCTCACGCGCCCCTCCCCTGCGCCGTCGCTGTCAATGAAGACGGGCCCCAGCTTGTCGCTCATGCCGCACTCGCGCACCATCTGCCGCGCCAGCCGCGTGGCCTGCCTCAGGTCGTCCCGCGCCCCGCTGGTGACGTGCTGCGCGCCGAACACCACCTCCTCCGCCACGCGCCCCCCCATGCACACGTCCAGCCGCGCCAGCATCTGCGCACGCGTGCGGCTCGTCTCAAAGTCGTCATCTGGCATCTGCGTGACCATGCCCAGCGCCGCCCCCCTTGGCATGATGGTGGCCTTGTGGATGGGCAGCGCGTGCGCCGTGTGCAGCGCCACCAGCGCATGCCCACTCTCGTGGTATGCCGTGTTCTGTATCCCACAAGGGGGGGAGAGGGGGGGAGAGTTGGGGGGGAAACGGAGGGTGATTGGGACGGTGGTGCAGGGGAGCACACACAAGTACCTGGCAGTGGCATCCAGCTCACCGCACTCTCATGGCAGCACCACCCACCAGGCTCCCATCCCCTAGGCTTGCACACGCACCTTACGGCAGGCCTGGGAGAGCACGAGGGAGCGGCGCTCAGCCCCCATGAGGATCTTGTCTTTGGCGAACTCGAGCTGGTCGCGGCCCACCGCCGCCACGCCGTCCAGCGCCGCCTTCACCGCCGCCATGTTCACCAGATTCGCCAGGTCTGATGCCCAGCACACGGGACGGGGCAGACGGGGGGAGGGCAGGAAGGACAGAGGCGAGCGGGAAAGGGAGGGGGCCTAGTATTGTGCTGAGCAGGGGTCGTGGGTAGCTGCTGTGCTCACCTGCACCCACCTGCTGCTTCTGCCCGGCCAAGCCCCCTCTTCGTGCTTCCTTCCTTGTCCACCAGCCACTCTGGCCCATGCTGCACCCACCCCGCCACCTTCAGCCCCCTACGACCCTACAGCCCAGCTCCCCACCTGCCCAGCACCCCACCTTCTCCACAGCCCACCTGCCCCACGGCCCACCCGCCCCACGGCCCACCTGCCCCGCTGAAGCCGGGAGTGCCCTTGGCGAGCATGGCGACATCAACATCAGCGTGCAGCGGCTTGCCCTCCAAATACAGCTCCAGGATCTCCCTCCTCCCCCTCACGTCCGGTGCCTGCACCACCACCTGCTCATGGGCCGCACCGGCGCTCACACACACTCACACGTGCACACGCGCACTCACACACAGTCACACGTGCACACGCACTCACACACAGTCACATGTGCACACAAGCTCTCACACACAGTCACACGTGCACACGCGCATTCACACACAGTCACACGTGCACACAAGCTCTCCCACACAGTCACACGTGCACACAAGCTCTCACACACAGTCACACGGGCACACAAGCTCTCACACGCAGTCACACGTGCACACAAGCTCTCACACACAGTCACACGTGCACACAAGCTCTCACACACAGTCACACGTGCACACAAGCACTCACACACAGTCACACGTGCACACAACCACTCACACGCATCCACAAGCGCACAAATAGAGACCAATGCAGGGACAGCTTAAGAACTTGCATGCACAGCACAAGTGGTAACACAGGAAGAGTGATGAAGAGGAGTGAGAGGAAAGAGTGCAAGGGGGGTGCCAGTTTGCTCCCACACGTAGTGCTCATCCCACGCCCACATGCTCCTCCCGGGCCTCTGCCCCCTCTCCTCCCCCCCACGCGGGCTCACGTGGCGGTCGAAGCGGCCGGGGCGGGTGAGGGCGGGGTCGAGCATGTCCGGTACGTTGGTGGCCGCCATCACTATGATGCCCTGCCACGCCATGCCATGCCATGCCCATGCCGTGCCATGCCCATGCCATGCCATGCCGTGCCATGCCATGCCATGCCATGCCATGCCATGCCGTGCCATGCCGTGCCATGCCGTGCCATGCCACACCATGCCGTGCGCGTGCCGTGCCATGCCATGCCCATACCGTGCCCATACCGTGCAGTGCCATGCAATGCCGTTCCCATGCCGTGCCATGCAATGCCATGCCATGCCAAGCCATTCCATAGCATGCACCCCGCACCACGCACAGGGGGTGCATAGACAGGGGGAAGAGAGGTAGAAATTGGGCTTCAAAGACCTTCACGGCGTGAAGGGAAGTGCGGGGAAATGGCGAGCATAGGGGAAGTGGAAGACAGGAATATGGTGGTGAGTGTGGGAGCAGCAGTGGTGGCAGTGGCAGTGGCAGTGGCGGTGGCAGTGGTAGTGGTGGGGGCGTTGGGGGCGGGGGGTTGACCTCGTTGGGTTCGAAGCCGTCCATCTCGACGAGCAGCTGGTTGAGCGTCTTCTTGCTGTGCCCCTCCCACTGCTTGCGACTGCCCCCCACCGCGTCAATCTCATCTATGAACACGATGCACGGCGCCTGCCACCCGCACAGTGCATGTGGGCCACATGGGAAGGAGCACAAGCGCGTGAGCAAACAGCATATATGCCATGTGCTCTGCCTCGCAACCCAAAGCAATCACATGTCATGACAGTGGTTCAGGAATTCTCTGAATCAAGCCTGGCAGATACCATATGAAGTAAATCACGGACAAAACTCTAAAAGGGCGACCTAAGCAGCGTGGGTGCTCTCATTCCACTCCCCTGTCCGCCAGGGGGCGTACAGCTAGCACTGGCTGACCAATGGGCATCTTTCGTGCGGCACGGTGCTCACTCACCTTCTTCTTCGCCGCTTGAAACAGCGTGCGCACCCTCCGCGCCCCCACTCCCACAAACCTGCCAGGCCCAGCCATGGGCAGCCAGAGGATGCGATGCAGCATGACACAAAATTTGTGGCAGTTGGATGGTGCAGTGGTGGCACGGAAGAGTGCAGACATGGAATGGTGGACGGCGGATGAGCAGCATGGCGGATGAGCAACATGGTGGATGAGCAACATGGTGGATGAGCAACATGGCGGATGAGCTTGAGCAACATGGTGGATGAGCAACATGGCGGATGAGCAACATGGTGGATGAGCAACATGGTGGATGAGCAACATGGCGGATGAGCAACATGGTGAATGAGCAACATGGTGGATGAGCAACATGGTGGATGAGCAACATGGCGGATGAGCAACATGGTGGATGAGCAACATGGTGGATGAGCAACATGGTGGATGAGCAACATGGCGACATGGCGGATGAGCAACATGGCGACATGGCGGATGAGCAACATGGCGGATGAGCAACATGGCGGATGAGCAACATGGTGGATGAGCAACATGGTGGATGAGCAACATGGTGGATGAGCAACATGGTGGATGAGCAACATGGTGGATGAGCAACATGGTGGATGAGCAACATGGTGGATGAGGAAGACGGCGGATGAGCAACATGGCGGATGAGCAACATGGTGGATGAGCAACATGGTGGATGAGCAACATAGCGGATGAGCAACATGGCGGATGTGGATGAGCAACATGGTGGATGAGCAACATGGCGGATGAGCAACATGGCGGATGAGCAACATGGTGGATGAGCAAGACGGCGGATGAGCAACATGGCGGATGAGCAACATGGTGGATGAGCAACATGGTGGATGAGCAACATGGCGGATGAGCAACATGGTGGATGAGCAACATGGCGGATGAGCTTGAGCAACATGGTGGATGAGCAACATGGTGGATGAGCAACATGGTGGATGAGCAAGATGGCGGATGAGCAACATGGTGGATGAGCAACATGGCGGATGAGCTTGAGCAACATGGTGGAGGAGCAACATGGTGGATGAGCAACATGGTGGATGAGCAACATGGTGGATGAGCAACATGGTGGATGAGCAACATGGTGGGTGAGCAACATGGTGGATGAGCAACATGGTGGATGAGCAACATGGTGGATGAGCAACATGGTGGATGAGCAACATGGTGGATGAGCAAGATGGCGGATGAGCAACATGGTGGATGAGCAACATGGCGGATAAGCTTGAGCAACATGGTGGATGAGCAACATGGTGGGTGAGCAACATGGTGGATGAGCAACATGGTGGATGAGCAACATGGTGGATGAGCAACATGGTGGATGAGCAACATGGTGGATGAGCAACATGGTGGATGAGCAAGATGGCGGATGAGCAACATGGTGGATGAGCAACATGGCAGATGAGCTTGAGCAACATGGTGGATGAGCAACATGGTGGGTGAGCAACATGGTGGATGAGCAACATGGTGGATGAGCAACATGGTGGGTGAGCAACATGGTGGATGAGCAACATGGTGGATGAGCAACATGGTGGGTGAGCAACATGGTGGATGAGCAACATGGCCGATGAGCAACATGGTGGATGAGCAACATGGCGGATGAGCAACATGGTGGATGAGCAACATGGTGGATGAGCAACATGGTGGATGAGCAACATGGTGGATGAGCAACATGGTTGATGAGCAACATGGCGCATGCATAAGCAGTACAAGGAAGCAGCCCTGTGCCCCCTGCCCCCCATTGACCCTCTGTGTCCCCGGCCGCCCGTTGACCCCGTGTGTGTGTGTCCCCCGTTCCCTTCCCAGGGCGCACATCTCTTCGAACTCGGAGCCGGCGCGGTAGAAGAAGGGCACCCCCGCCTCGCCCGCTATGGCCTGCCGCCGCCCGCCCACACCGCCGCGCCCATGCGAGCACGGAGTGGGAGGGGGCGGGGGGGACGAGGGTGAGCAGAGGAGGCGGGTGACAGTGGTGTGAGGGAATGAGGCGCCTCAGATAGACAGAGCAGCGGCGAGTGGATGGAGACGAGGCGGATGGAAGGGAGCGGAGAGGAGCGGAGGTGGGGGGAGGGGAGAAGAGGGGAGGGGAGGGGAGAAGAGGGGAGGGGAGGGGAGGGGAGGGGAGGGGAGAGTGATGCAAGCAAAAAGCGCAGAGGAAAGGAGGGGGCAGCAGAGGGGGGCACCTTGGCGAGCAGCGTCTTGCCCGTGCCTGGTGGGCCGATCAGCAGCACCCCCTGCACCCATGAGGCACAGGGCAGAATCACGGAGGAAAGGAGTGAGAGGCGCTCAGGCAAGTGCCGAGCACATAGGCCACGCATGTTGGAGACGAGGGGTGGGAGGAGCACGGGTGGTGGCGGATGCAGCACAGCGGGCTAGGCTCCACAATGATCCCCCCATAACCCCACCCCATACGACGTTCCATCCACCTCAATACCCCACCCCCCCTCCTTCCCTCCTCTCCCACTCACTCCTACAGGCACCTTCAGCAGCGTGCCCCCCTATCTTGCACCTTCAGCAGCGTGCCCCCCTATTCGCACCTTCAGCAGCGTGCCCCCCTATCTCGCACCTTCAGCAGCGTGCCCCCCTATTTCGCACCTTCAGCAGCGTGCCCCCCTATCTCGCACCTTCAGCAGCGTGCCCCCCTATTTCGCACCTTCAGCAGCGTGCCCACCTATTTCGCACCTTCAGCAGCGTGCCCCCCTATCTCGCACCTTCAGCAGCGTGCCCCCCTATCTCGCACCTTCAGCAGCGTGCCCCCCTCACTCGCACCTTCAGCTGAGTGCTCCCCTTCCCCTCTCACCTTAGGCAGCTTGCCACCGAGGCGGGTGAAGCGGTCGGGGGCGCGCAGATACTCCACGATCTCCTCCAGCTCCGCCTTCGCCTCGTCACACCCCCTCACGTCCTTGAACGTGCGCACACTCTGACCAGGGGGGGGCACATGGACGCACCAAGAGCGAGGGGGGGGAAGAGCAGCAGAAACAAGAAAGGCGAGGTGGGTGGCGGTGAACATGCAACGATGAAGCTTGGCACAACTATGGCAGTCGCTTGCTCTGTCACACTCTCACACATGCTCTCACACATGCTCTCACACATGCTCTCACACATGCTCTCACACATGCTCTCACACGTGCTCTCACCTTCTCAAACATGCTCTCACTGTCTCAATCATGCGCTCACCATCTCGGGCATGCCATCAGCCGCTCACCAACTCGGGCATGCCATCAGCCGCTCACCTTCTCGGGCATGTTCTCATCTCGCCTTCTCGGGCATGTTCTCATCTCACCTTCTCGGGCATGTTCTCATCTCACCTTCTTGGGCATGTTCTCATCTCGCCTTCTCGAGCATGTTCTCATCTCACCATCTCGGGCATGCCATCAGCCGCTCACCTTCTCGGGCATGTTCTCATCTCACCTTCTCGGGCATGTTCTCATCTCACCTTCTCAGGCATGTTCTCATCTCACCTTCTCGGGCATGTTCTCATCTCACCTTCTTGGGCATGTTCTCATCTCGCCTTCTCGAGCATATTCTCATCTCACCTTCTTGGGCATGTTCTCATCTCACCTTCTCGGGCATGCCATCAGCCGCTCACCATCTCGGGCATGCCATCAGCCGCTCACCTTCTCGGGCATGCCATCAGCCGCTCACCTTCTCGGGCATGTTCTCGTCTCACCTTCTCGGGCATGTTCTCATCTCACCTTCTCTGGCATGTTCTCATCTCACCTTCTCGGGCATGTTCTCATCTCACCTTCTCGGGCATGTTCTCATCTCACCTTCTCGGACATGTACTCATCTCACCTTCTTGGGCATGTTCTCATCTCACCTTCTCGGGCATGTTCTCATCTCACCTTCTCGGGCATGTTCTCATCTCACCTTCTCGGGCATGTTCTCATCTCACCTTCTCGGGCATGTTCTCATCTCACTTTCTCGGGCATGTTCTCATCTCACCTTCTCGGGCATGTTCTCATCTCACCTTCTCGGGCATGTTCTCATCTCACCTTCTCGGGCATGTTCTCATCTCACCTTCTCGGGCATGCTCTCATCTCACCTTCTCGGGCATGTTCTCATCTCACCTTCTCCGGCATGCTCTCATCTCACCTTCTCGGGCATGTTCTCATCTCACCTTCTCGGGCATGTTCTCATCTCACCTTCTCGGGCATGTTCTCATCTCACTTTCTCGGGCATGTTCTCATCTCACCTTCTCGGGCATGTTCTCATCTCACCTTCTCGGGCATGTTCTCATCTCACCTTCTCGGGCATGTTCTCATCTCACCTTCTCGGGCATGCTCTCATCTCACCTTCTCGGGCATGTTCTCATCTCACCTTCTCGGGCATGTTCTCATCTCACCTTCTTGGGCATGTTCTCATCTCACCATCTCGGGCATGTTCTCATCTCACCTTCTCGGGCATGTTCTCATCTCACCTTCTCGGGCATGTTCTCATCTCACCTTCTCGGGCATGTTCTCATCTCACTTTCTCGGGCATGTTCTCATCTCACCTTCTCGGGCATGTTCTCATCTCACCTTCTCGGGCATGTTCTCATCTCACCTTCTCGGGCATGTTCTCATCTCACCTTCTCGGGCATGCTCTCATCTCACCTTCTCGGGCATGTTCTCATCTCACCTTCTCCGGCATGCTCTCATCTCACCTTCTCGGGCATGTTCTCCTCTCACCTTCTCGGGCATGTTCTCATCTCACCTTCTCGGGCATGTTCTCATCTCACTTTCTCGGGCATGTTCTCATCTCACCTTCTCGGGCATGTTCTCATCTCACCTTCTCGGGCATGTTCTCATCTCACCTTCTCGGGCATGTTCTCATCTCACCTTCTCGGGCATGCTCTCATCTCACCTTCTCGGGCATGTTCTCATCTCACCTTCTCGGGCATGTTCTCATCTCACCTTCTTGGGCATGTTCTCATCTCACCATCTCGGGCATGTTCTCATCTCACCTTCTCGGGCATGTTCTCATCTCACCTTCTCGGGCATGTTCTCATCTCACCTTCTCGGGCATGTTCTCATCTCACTTTCTCGGGCATGTTCTCATCTCACCTTCTCGGGCATGTTCTCATCTCACCTTCTCGGGCATGTTCTCATCTCACCTTCTCGGGCATGTTCTCATCTCACCTTCTCGGGCATGCTCTCATCTCACCTTCTCGGGCATGTTCTCATCTCACCTTCTCCGGCATGCTCTCATCTCACCTTCTCGGGCATGTTCTCATCTCACCTTCTCGGGCATGTTCTCATCTCACCTTCTCGGGCATGTTCTCATCTCACTTCTCGGGCATGTTCTCATCTCACTTCTCGGGCATGTTCTCATCTCACCTTCTCGGGCATGTTCTCATCTCACCTTCTCGGGCATGTTCTCATCTCACCTTCTCGGGCATGTTCTCATCTCACCTTCTCGGGCATGCTCTCATCTCACCTTCTCGGGCATGTTCTCATCTCACCTTCTCGGGCATGTTCTCATCTCACCTTCTTGGGCATGTTCTCATCTCGCCTTCTCGAGCATATTCTCATCTCACCTTCTTGGGCATGTTCTCATCTCACCTTCTCGGGCATGCCATCAGCCGCTCACCATCTCGGGAATGCCATCAGCCGCTTACCTTCTCGGGCATGCCATCAGCCGCTCACCTTCTCGGGCATGTTCTCGTCTCACCTTCTCGGGCATGTTCTCATCTCACCTTCTCTGGCATGTTCTCATCTCACCTTCTCGGGCATGTTCTCATCTCACCTTCTCGGGCATGTTCCCATCTCACCTTCTCGGGCATGTACTCATCTCACCTTCTTGGGCATGTTCTCATCTCACCTTCTCGGGCATGTTCTCATCTCACCTTCTCGGGCATGTTCTCATCTCACCTTCTTGGGCATGTTCTCATCTCACCATCTCGGGCATGTTCTCATCTCACCTTCTCGGGCATGTTCTCATCTCACCTTCTCGGGCATGTTCTCATCTCACCTTCTCGGGCATGTTCTCATCTCACCTTCTCGGGCATGTTCTCATCTCACTTTCTCGGGCATGTTCTCATCTCACCTTCTCGGGCATGTTCTCATCTCACCTTCTCGGGCATGTTCTCATCTCACCTTCTCGGGCATGTTCTCATCTCACCTTCTCGGGCATGCTCTCATCTCACCTTCTCGGGCATGTTCTCATCTCACATTCTCCGGCATGCTCTCATCTCACCTTCTCGGGCATGTTCTCATCTCACCTTCTCGGGCATGTTCTCATCTCACCTTCTCGGGCATGTTCTCATCTCACTTTCTCGGGCATGTTCTCATCTCACCTTCTCGGGCATGTTCTCCTCTCACCTTCTCGGGCATGTTCTCATCTCACCTTCTCGGGCATGTTCTCATCTCACCTTCTCGGGCATGCTCTCATCTCACCTTCTCGGGCATGTTCTCATCTCACCTTCTCGGGCATGTTCTCATCTCACCTTCTCGGGCATGTTCTCATCTCACCTTCTCGGGCATGTTCTCATCTCACTTTCTTGGGCATGTTCTCATCTCACCTTCTCGGGCATGGTCTCATCTCACCTTCTCGGGCATGTTCTCATCTCACCTTCTCGGGCATGTTCTCATCTCACCTTCTCGGGCATGTTCTCATCTCACCTTCTCGGGCATGTTCTCATCCCACCTTCTCGGGCATGTTCTCATCTCACCTTCTCGGGCATGTTCTCATCTCCTTCTCAGGCATGTTCTCATCTCACCTTCTCGGGCATGTTCTCATCTCACCTTCTCGGGCATGTTCTCATCTCACCTTCTCGGGCATGTTCTCCTCTCACCTTCTCAGGCATGTCCTCCTCTCACCTTCTCGGGCATGTTCTCATCTCACCTTCTTGGGCATGTTCTCATGTCACCTTCTCGGGCATGCCATCAGCCGCTCACCTTCTCGGGCATGGTCTCCTTGTTATACTCCTTGGGCGAGTACACGCCCGCCCCGCCCGCCCCCATGCCCGCTGCTGGCCCCCCCGCCATCCCCCCCCCTCCCATGCCGGTGACGCCACTGGCGTAGCGCCTCAACGCCGTCGTTGCTGCCGCCCTGCCAAGGTGCACCGGGCACACAGGCACCCCACACACACATGAGTGCAAGCATGCACGCACATGCATGCACACACGAGCGCAAGCATGCACGCATGTGAGCATGCAGCGCGGCAAGAAAGCTTAGCTTGCTGCAAAAAGAACAGGCAAACCGGTGGGCGAGAGGGCAGACGAGGGCGAGAGGAAAGGGGACGGTGGCGGACCAGAGGAGGAGGCCGAAGAAGCAGGCGAGCAGCGCTGAGAGCAGCTCCTGCAGCACACGCAGCCCACGTGACAGCGGCTTCACCTCCCTCTCCACCTGTGGGGCGTGGCAGAGGTGACATGGGGATGACACGCACGGGGGGTCGGGCCGTGATTGCCACAACACAGCGGGAGAGAAAGAGAGGTGAAAAGAGGTGCGCATGCAAGGGAATGAAATAGCATGGAATAAAAAAATGCAATGCGCAGTGACGATCGATGAGCATATGTGATGCATGACATGTGGCGCATTCATCCCCCACACACATGCACACCCACACACACATGCACCCACGCACACATGCACGCATGCACGCATTCACTCACGCATACATGCACGCACGCACACATGCACTCACGCACACATGCACGCACGCACACATGCACGCACGCACACTTGCACTCACGCACACATGCACTCACACACACATGCACTCACGCACACATGCACGCACGGACACACCCACACACAAGCATGCACACACACACATATGCTGACATAAGAAGCCATGACGCCCCACATACCACCATCACCACATACCACCATCACCACGTGCACGCACCATCACCACGTGCACGCACCATCACCACGTGCACGCACCATCACCACGTGCAGGGGCGTCTGCTCCGTGGTGCCGGGCGGCAGCCCCAGCTGGCCCTCTTCTGACGTGGCGCGCTGCTTCAGATCCTCCAGCTGATGACGTCAGCACAGGGTGGAGAGACAGGAGAGGGTGCGATGGGAAGGCGACAATAGCAGGTGATGTATGCATGAGCATGAAGGAGGACGTACCGGCAATGACCAGCAGCATACGAGCAAGGGGAGGTGGGCATACGAGCAAGGGGAGGGAGGTGGGGCGGGCGTTGTTGGAGGAGGGGAGGAAGGAGGAGAGGCGGTCGGTGGTGACGAGCGCGCGCAGGTAGATGGCCACTCCCTCCGCGTCCACCGCGTGCTGCCTCGCCTCAAAGCGCTGCACCACCGCCCCCGGGCTGATGTGGTGTGGGGGAGGGCGGTGAGGGACGAGAGGGGAGGGGAAGGGGGAGAGCAGGGAGGGGAGAGGGAGGGAGGAGAAGAGATAAGAGGGAGGGCGGGAGAGGTACAACGTAGAGGGGTGGGTATAAATGCATGACGCGGATGGCACGATGGATGGCAGGGGGAAGACAGGATGGGACGGGGGGAAGACGGGATGGAACGGGGGGAAGACAGAATGGGACGGGGGGAAGATAGGATGGGACGGGGGGAAGACAGGATGGGATGGGGGGAAGACAGGATGGGACGGGGGAAAACAGGATGGGACGGGGGGAAGACAGGATGGGACGGGGGGAAGACGGGATGGAACGGGGGGAAGACAGAATGGGACGGGGGGAAGACAGGATGGGACGGGGGGGAAGACAGGATGGGACGGGGGGAAGACAGGATGGGACGGGGGAAAACAGGATGGGACGGGGGGAAGACAGGATGGGACGGGGGAAAACAGGATGGGACGGGGGGAAGACGGGATGGGACGGGGACAGGGGAGTGCAGCAGCATGGGGAGGCGAGGCAGCAGGAGGGGGAGGCAGGGAGCCCATGGGCGCAGGGGGCACGGCACTGACTCGGCGCGGAGCAGCTCCGCCAGGTACTCCGCCTGCCTGCGCGCGTCCCCCGGGCTGCTGTCGGCCGCCTCCTGCAGCTGGCGCAGCCGCCGCCTCTGCTGCCACAGGGGCCACGCCGCCACCATGCGCGCCACCCTGCTCTGCGCCACCACCGCCGCCGCCGCCGCCACCAGGTTCAACGGAAACCACAACGTGCGACGAACCTCCCCTTCCCGCCCTTCCTCCCCATCTTCCTCCTCCTCACCCTCTTCCCCCTCCTCCCCCGCCTCCTCTGCCTTCTCTGTCCCCCCTCCTGCACCATCGTCCCCGCGCGCTGTTCCTGCAGCCCCCACAGCAGGCGCGGAGGCAGTGGCGGGAGAGGGCTCCGTGGCGAGAGACGCGGGACGCGTGGGGCCTGCGGCAAGGAAGGCGCTGTTGCTCGCCGCACCCCCGTTGCTGCTGCCGCCGCCTGGCCCTTGGGAAGGCCGATCTGCGTTATCCACGCTGTCCGAGGCGAGCACCGCGTCACCCGCCTTGGCATGCTCGCGTGATGGCACAGCTTCTGCCTCTGATTGGTCGTCAGGGCCACGTGACGTGGACGCCCGGCAACGCACACTCGATGACCTGCTTGCAAGCCCGAAACAGCATCGCTCTCCTTCTCCTGATAACAACGGACCTCTCGCAAATGGAACTTTAAATCTGCCGCTGCCGCTTCGCGCTGATCGCGACGGTTGCATACGGCGGGGATGGGATAGCCGTGGCGAAATAGGTAACGACTGGCGCGTCGAACGGCGACGGATCACGAACGAGGGATGGCAATTTGACGGCCAGTGCGGTTGGTACAAGGCCGGACTGGAGGAGCCACGAATCACGGCAGCGTCGCTCCAACAATCGGGTTGTGCGGCTCTTCCTGCGACTTCGGCAGCTAACGCGCCGTGAATCGCTGCTGACTGTAAAGATGCCATAACAGCAATTCGGTATGACGGCAATTCACTGCACGAAAGCAGTGCACTTTAGGCTAGTGCGCGTGGTGAGGGAGAGCAGCATGGGTGAACGAAGCAAGTGAGAGACTGCTGATTCAGACGGTGGCTGGAACCTTGGTAGGTTGCTTCAGTCGAAAAGCTCGATGTCCCAACCCCAAGGGTCGCCATCTCTAAAGCGAACCTGTTACCCGAAACCCACAGATTTGAATGAGGCTTGGGCAGGTTTTATCGCTTGAACAACCTGTTTGCCAGTGCGAAACAAACTCTTCAATCTCGCACAGGCATATTGGATTTCGCCACGATGACTTTTAGCCAGGAAATTATATGGACAGCCACAAACATGGGCTCATCATCACTCGCCCATCGCGAACGATCACAAAATCTAGGTATAATCACAAGATTGTCACAGATAGTCATACGTTGCCCCACAAATCTATCACGTATGGTCACAAAAAAAAAGGGGTTTTGAGTCAATTGGGAAGTACTACTGTGCTCTCTTCGCTCTAAGGGAACTGTTAGCGCTGTTTGGGAATGGTTATGGGGAGTTTCAAGCCGAGTGCGTTCAAACATGCTGCTCGTTGACAAGTCAGGCGCTGATTGGCCCAAATGTCTCGACATCATAGGCTGGGCGCTGCTCATTCTTTTCAAAGTGAACAGTACCTAACAACCCTCGTCTTTTACACCTAACCAGCAGCACGATCGTGTCAAAGTTTCTAGCAAGGCTTAGGAGCCATGGCTAGTTAGATCGAGTGAGTTGAGTTCGAGAAAGTTGAAAAGGAGAAAAGAGTCGAGAGAATGAGGGGTTTCACTATAGGTTCAAGGGTACAAATATGAGAGAACAAGCAAGAAAGGTGCACCACCAAATAGGAAAACGCTATAACTACAGTAACCAATCCTACAGGCAGTTACATATAGAAAATATTAAATTATATTTTCCGACACGCCCCCATAACTGGCTGTAGGAGATGAGTATGCAGTTGGCGCCCTCTGAAGGGGTACATCACGATTGCGCAGGAGGAGAAAAGTGTTTCAATAATACCACTCCTCTGGCTCCCCCACACCCTCACACCCTCCCCCCCAGCGGCAGCTGCAGCAGCGGGAACAAAAGGAGGAGGAGAAGGGGGGGGGGGGGGGGGGGGGCGACGCACGGCCTCCCCGGGCGCCAAAGCAGGCGGCAGAGGGGGCGACGCCTGCCCCCCCCTTCCACGTCGCCCCTCCCGGCACCTGTCGAGGTGACCTGAGGGGGCCGCGTGCGGCCCCCGAAGGAGCCGCGACGGGTGACGGGAAAAGGGGGGGGGGGGGGGCGGTGCACGTGCCCCCGGTGTGCCGCGGCTGGCGACGGAACATGGCCGGGGCGGGGTCGGGGCCGCAAGTGGGCGGGGCCGCAGGTGGCATCGGGGCCGAAGTGGGCGACGGGGCCGCAGGTGGCGACGGGGCCGCAGGTGGCGGGGCCGCAGGTGACGACGGGGCTGGGTCCGCAAGGAGGCGACGGGGCCGGGGCCGCAGTTAGGTGACGAGGCCGGGGCCGTAGGTGGGCGACTGGGCCGGGGCCGTAGTGAGGCGACGGGGCCGCAGGTAGGGGACGGGGCCGCAGGTAGGCAACAGGGCCGGGGCCGCAGGTAGGCGACGGGGCCGGGGCCGCAGGAAGGCGACGGGGCCGGGGCCGCAGGTAGGCGACGGGGCCGTAGGGCCGCAGGTAGGTGACGGGGCCGTAGGGCCGCAGGTAGGCGACGGGGCCGGGGCCGCAGGAAGGCGACGGGGCCGGGGCCGCAGGTAGGCGACGGGGCCGTAGGTAGGCGACGGGGCCGTAGGGCCGCAGATAGGCGACGGGGCCGGGGCCGCAGGAAGGCGACGGGGCCGGGGCCGGGGCCGCAGGAAGGCGACGGGGCCGGGGCCGCAGGTAGGCGACGGGGCCGTAGGAAAGGGCGGCGACGGGACCGCGAAAAGTAGGGCAAGGGGCACGTCATGGGGCGTGCCGAACACAGATTAGCAGCGGAAGCTGTAGGGTGGGCCCACAGGTCAGGACCTTGGTAGCTCTGATAGCATGTCAAAGTTTCTAGCAAGGCTTAGGAGCCATGGCTAGTTAGATCGAGTGAGTTGAGTTCGAGAAAGTTGAAAAGGAGAAAAGAGTCGAGAGAATGAGGGGTTTCACTATATGTTCAAGGGTACAAATATGAGAGAACAAGCAAGAAAGGTGCACCACCAAATAGGAAAACGCTATAACTACAGTAACCAATCCTACAGGCAGTTACATATAGAAAATATTAAATTATATTTTCCGACAGATCGGGGTGGCGCGGATTTGACCGAGATGAAATCAAAATCTCAAGATTCTCGCGCCAAAGCTGAGGCTCGCCATCCGTTACGAGCCTCAAAACAGAAGCCGTCAGAAATTCGTCCCCCCTCACTCCTTCCGTCAGACATTCGTCCCTCCCTCATTTTCACCCGACTCTCGCAAACACCTTATGTACAATTATAATGGCATGTAGTTAGTAAGATTTAAATTAAGCACAGTGTTGAATATTTAATATGCACTTACGATAGATGAGATATCTTGCCTGCTTTATTCTGGTATCAATGCCATTATTTAAGCATGACCTTAAACTCCTTATAGGTGCATGCCTATATTAAGCGCGTACACTACTTGCTGGGGCATTACTATTACGGCTGCAATTAGGCCTCTCTTTCCAAATATTACAACATTGTTATTAGAGAGATGGATTTTTCGAAATTCTGAAATTCAGGGTTGTTAACAGGAATGGAGTGTTGGCCCTGCCCTCGCTTGGGCAACGCCGACGACTTGGTCGGATGTACGGGAGTAGCAGCCAATCGTTCACAGCGGGAGAGCTGCTCGACAGGCTTCGTCGAGCTGCAGGGGACCGCTGTGGTGTTGCTGTCGACCAGGGAGCTCGACAACTGCAACTGACTAGTCTGGGCGACGGGTGGGATGTCGACCAGGACCTACAGCTCAACCGGGAGGTCTCCGGAGCATCCCGTCGACCTGCCGTTCGACCGGGAGGTCTCCGGAGCATCCCGTCGACCTACAGTTCGACCGGGAGGTCGACGGAGCAGTCCGTCGACCTGAAAAGTGAGCAGCGGTCGACGAGGGGAGCTCGGCGACAACCGCTGACGGTTCTGGTCGACGGAAGAGGTCCGTCGACTAGGGGGTAGCTCGACGGGAGTTGTGGTCGACCAGAGGGACCTGGTGGTCGACCAGAAGCAGTGGTGGTCGGCCGTAAGCACTTGGTGGTCGTCCGAGTCGACCGGGTAACCTGCTCGACGAGTTCTGCGGAGGCACGCGAACGTCGTCGAGGTCGCGATGGCGAAGGCGACTGCAGGCTGGTATCCCGAAGTCGATGTGGCTTGTCAGGCGCAGACAACAGCCGACGGATGCCCAACAAGGCAAGTCGGGCCAATTGTCTGCGCGCACCTGCGAGCGTGCGCACTGCTGTGTTCTACGGGGCAACGCTGGACAGCTGCTCCGCTGCAGCGTTGGCAAGTCGTCGACCTGCTTTGTTGGCAGGTCGCCTTTCCGCAGTGCTGGCGCGGCCCCTCTACGCAACGTTGGCAGGCGGTCGACCGAGCTGTGCTGGCGGTCGACCGAGCTGTGCTGGCGGTCGACCAGGCTAGCTGCAGGGTTGCTAGGTGCCTGATGTAGTCATTCTGACATTGCTTGTTCAATCATTCTGTAATTCCAACTTTGCTAGTGGAAACTCTTGCCAATTTCTCCCGTGAATGTGCAAGCACCAAGGAACTAAGCAAAGCTACGATCACCTCTAGTAGTTCATGCCAACCCCCGTAGTCTAGCTCACTACCGTTGTAGAGTGTCTCTCAGCATGGTGCGGTGAGCGTGGACGGCCCCGCAAATACCTTCAGATAGGAGCCGACGTTTGCACCTACTAAGTCGTTCGTAGGCCGGCAGCAGCGATAGTCGCCATGGTCGACCCCGTAGTTGATGCGGGCGTAGCGGACACCTTGGAGGCACGTTTGGCTGACGCGAGAAGACGCCACTCGGATGGCGAGTACGGGACGATCCCCTTGGTGATCGCCGAGTTGGGCATCCGGTCGCAGTGGGCGACGGAACACCCTTCTCGTCCTGCTTCTCCTCGACCGGTGCGCAACGAAGGTGGCGTCGACGACGAGGTCGATGGTGGTGCACGAGTCAGCGGCAGCGAAGGCACAAGGCAGAGAGGGGTGATCAAGGTCGACGGTGGTGTCGACGGAATCCAGGCGCGAGTGCAGCGGTCGACGGCGGCTGCAGGCAGCTCGCATGCCGACGTCGATGTTCGACGTCGCCCTCCTCTACGAAGCGGTGGAGGGCTCTCGGCGACGACGCATGTGACTGCAGGCAGGATTGCACCGACGTATGGCTACTTCAAATTCTCGCCGGACCGGATCACCGTCGCACCGCTGCAAGGTCGACGGGACCTCATCACCTGGAGGGAGTGGATAGAACCTCAGCTGGAGGTCGCCGGGATAAAGGGCTTCGCTGACGGCACCGTGCCAATTCCGCACGAGGAGGATGTCGAGCTGTGCAGGGAGTTTCGTTCTGCTCACCTGCTCACCTTCATGGTCATCTCGAGGTGCTGCTTGCCGGTGGTGCAGCTAGCACTCAGGAGCTGTCGAGAGCGACTAGATGCTGGTCACCAGGCATGGTGCTTCATCATGTCGACGTACCAGGTCAGGGACGACCTGTACATCGGGTAGCTGGAGGAGAAGATGACTCATATTCGGATGGGCGAGCAGGATTCGGT